GACCTATTCATGCGATAAAAATTTTGAAAACTGATTTGAATTTGGCTTTATGTCTACTTCAGATCGATCAGTCCGCATTTCCCATCTACGGCATATATTTTTCGTAAATATAATCCATCCATTTTATTAACTTTTGTTATTTATGCATTTTAAATAAATAGGGTTGTTAAAAAGCATTTTTAACAAAAAAATCTGTTTAAACATATTTTTTTTATAAATACATTATAAAATAGGTTTTAAAAGTGTTGATGTTTAAAACATGTCATAAAACTTACCTACCTTTATATATAATCTTTTCATTTTCTCTAATAAAAAATCGAATAAAGTTTATTGTAATACCTGTTATTGTTACTATAGATACTTATTTATTGCCAAATCTATAGGCGTCCCCATGGCTAGGGAGGACAGTCATAAAATTTCAATTTTTTACTTGCTAAAATTAAAGATTTTATTGATCTTAAAATTGGTTTCCTATGCTACATATATATATATATATATATATGTTGTATTACAACTATGAACTAATAAATAAAACTTATTAATTAAACACTACTTATTTATATTTTATCAACTGTATAATCAACCTTCTCTACACATCTTATTACAGTTATTACACAATAAATAGTTATTTATCAGTTTGGTTAAACAAGTAATTTATTAAAATATTACAAATAATAAAATTCAATAAATTTAAAATTTAAATTTACCTTCTACCTAAAATTACCTACAGTTACTGTTTCAGCCACGGATGTAGATACTATATATATATGTATCCGTGATTTCACCATTATGAGCCAAGAAGCCAAAAACGTCGCTGCATTCCAGTTCCGTCCTAAAAATAAAAATGTAATTTAAAGATATACTAGTTCCGTCCCGGGTTTTTTAAATATATATACCAATTCCGTCTCGAGTCAGATCGAATAAATATCAATATCATATTATTTAGAAATAAAGATGATAAAGATAATATTATTTCAGCTATTGAACCAAATAAACTTTTCAGTCGTAATTTGTGCGTGTCATTGAAATTTAATATGTATATATATATATATATATATAAATGAATAGTATACAATACATTTACAGTGAAAAAGGAAAAAATTTAATTATTAAAAATTAATTTAAATTTTGTTTTCACAAAGAATTAAGCAACAATATTGAACGATGGAAGTGTACAAAAACAATGCAAATCATGTATAAAAATTGATTAGAAAACTAAATTTGTAATAATTAAAGATCAGATTTTTAGGTTCTTAAAAGCTTAAAATATGTTGCTAATATATTTTAAAAAAACTTTAAAATATTCTCTAAATATTCCTTAAACCTTAATTTTAATTATTTTTATCCCTTAAAAGAACGCCTCTGAGGAGGCCGGTGCCCATTCTGCCTCCCTCGTAGACACGCCTATGGCCAAACCTATAGTTTATAATTTTTTTTATCGGTATTAAATCTGTTATAATTATGTCGCAAACCACGAAATAAAGAACAAAAATATAAGGTATAAAATTATTAATTGTATAAACATTCACTTTTGCATTAGAATCTATTATCAATATAATTCTATTATAGACATGAAAGTATTCGTTCAAAAAAACAAATTATCATTGGTAGCAAGTATTAAAACTCAACAAAATATTTATAACTCTAATGATAATAATGTATGCTTTGCTCACAATTAAATTTATCTTAATTTATATAACAAAAAAATTGTTGCAAGTAGATTGTTCAAATGGTATCGATAAGTTATTGTTAAAAAAAAACAATCGAAACGCAATAAATAAAATCAGCATTTAATAATGAGGCACTTCTGTTATTGTGAAATGCGGTTTATATTAGGTATCAATATATTAAAAAAATGAAGTAAATCATTACTTGCAAGCGAATTTGTAATGCATATAATATAGACAGTGGTGATGCCAAGATATTTTTTTAGGTAGGGCCAATGGGAGGCCAGCAACTATAAATTTGGGTCATTAAAAAATTAAAATAACCCCCCTCCCCCCTAAGAAAAAAAACAATTATATGAGCAATGAGCTTACTACTGTTTATTATTACCTTATTATAATATTTATAATATTATCTATACGTATTTTAAAATAATTCTACAATTTTTGTGTGCATCTGCAAAATTATTGATTATAACATCAATAATGTTTGATTTTGTTTCTCATTTTTCGATGCTCAAACATGTGGGATTAGTGTTTAGTAAATTATTTCTCAAATAATTGTTTTCACGCTTCATACATGAAAAAGTTAGTTTACATGCAACTGATGACACAGATATTATAATAGCAATGAAGCATAGTTTATAAGTTTCTAAAAATTCTATTATGTTAAATAACATTGACTATCAGAAATATTTAAATTAAATAGGTTTCTGCTAGATTTTTTTTTTTGACATAATTAACCACCATCTATAGTTTAGAAATTTTGTGATTAATAGTTTATATTTAATAGTAGACAGTTTTTCAAATTTTTTTAAAAAAAAAAAGCTTATAAAAAATGTGAACAAATTGTTTTTAGTGTTAATGATTTGCGTACTATTATTACACTTATTTATCAACTAAAGGCGCACTGACCTGTAGGCCAAAGTAAAGAGTTATTCAAATAAAATTTTATTTAGACGATTATTTAAGTAACATTTTATTTGAATACATTATTATTCAGATGATTTTTTATTAGAATAATATTTTCAAATAATTATCTAGATAACATTTTGCCCAACTCTGCTGTAGGCTTCCGTACTACGAGATCCTTCAACAGTAAGTGCTAAAAAGCCATGATTAAAGAATTACACTTCTAAAATCTTTATTAATCTCAAAAATATTTACAAATGTATTTTAACATTATAAACCAAAACTGATTTAAATATTTAAAAATAATGTTATACATACCTGTTTATCATTCATTATATGGGTACAAATAAAGAAGGGTTTATAAAGAAATTCACATTTAATAATATATATATATATATATAAAAATAATTAAAAAAAAAAGAAAGTAATTGTTTCTTTAAATGTATCAAAAAGAAGGCTCTTCAATAATTTTAGGCTATTAGTGGCCCAACCATCCCTGTAATCAATTGTATAAACTAGATATTGAAGATGCTAATTTATTCTGTTATAATTAACTGGGAGCTTAACTATGGGATCAGTTAATGTATCATATTTGATAATAGATAATTTATTACATTCCCAAAGTATTAGTATGGGCAGGGCCAGCCAAAGCAAAAATAGTGCAATAGACAAAATCAAATTTTGCCACTTCTAAAAATAAAAAATTGAGCTCTTATATTAACTTATCCCCTCCCCCTATTTTTATGTAACATATCTACATAAAAACAATTTTAATTTTTTATTTTATATATAAAATTATACTTAAAATATGACTTAAAAATGATTTCTATAATTATTACTCAAAACCCATCACTATCGCAACTGTCGAAAATAACGGAAGTGATTGTGTGGTTATATATATTTTTGGAATAATTGAAAATGCCCAACGTAGGCCGTAATATAATAACTTTAAACAATATTATTTTATTATAGAGGTAAGTGATTTTCACGAATAAATTAATTTAAATATTTTTCTTATAAAACACCAACAGAACTAAAAATAATGTAAATCAATTTTGAAAATGTCGCTCTAGGCAGGTGCCTAGCTTGCCTATACCTTGAGCCAGCCCTGAGTATGGGTTTAAAAAAATTATATTAAGAACTATAGGGTTTATAGTATACTATTATATTATGTACTTATACTAACATATATGAAATTCTCAGTCCTCGAATTGGAAAAATAAAAAAGTAGAAAGTTACATAACTCAAAAAAAAACAAATTTACCTGTCCAGCTAAAAAAAAACATGAGTAAATTTCCAATTAAGAGTACTCTACCAAAATTTAAAAATAGAGATACTAAACCAAAAATATGTAACTAAAATAAAAGCTAAAAAATGTCCATAGCCAAATTGTTTATGGAAGAAAATGATTTTCATAAAACATTTTCTAAATTAAAGACTATAAAGGAAGTTTAACAAGGTAAAATAAAAAACAATTTTTTTTTCTTAGATAATGATAAATGTTCTGTTCAATAACAGTACACAACAATTATCTATATCAATAGGTCCATAATATTTCATAACATTATCTAATAACCTAAAATAAATAAGTGATCAGAAGATTTGTCCAAAAAATTCACATTGAAATAATTACAAATGTACAAGATTAAAAAAAAAGAAAAAAGTGTAAACAAGCTAAATTAATCAAAAATCATATAAATAAATATATATTAAATGTGTATGTATATGAATGATGAGTACATATAAATTAATTCCATACACATATAAATAAGTCGGTAAGAACACTCAAATTAACAATATCAACAAAGTGGAAACAAAAAAAAAAAAAAATACATATCAAACACAGTATTTTTGACAGATTGCACTTTAGCTAACATTAATGTCTGTGAAGATGACAAATAACATAAAAAACAGTTCATAAGAAAATACAACCCACTTAAAAATAAAAACATCTAAAAATCTAAGAAAAGAATATTTATTTTAAACAAATAAACATAAACTTTAACTTTTGTAATATTGTATACAAGACTAACATATTGACTAGGTTTAGAGTCATTGGCCACACAAAAAATTAATGACTGTTCTTTAAACATTTTAAATGTTCAAATTTCTTAAATGGTCAAAATTAATCAATTAAATCTATAATAAAAGGTCAAAATTATTATTTTGAATTATTTAACTATTTTATTTTTCTACAATTAGAAAATCCCAAACATTATATTACTATGTATAATGGAAAACGACCAAGTTAAAACTGAGAACCAAAATCATGTTATTGTAACATGTAAAAAAAATTTTGAAGATTATTAATTAAATTATTTTATAGAAAAATTATGAGGGTCAAAAATGGAAGTGATAAAAATATATATTTAAACTCAGATTTATGGGCAAGCCAATGATATATATAAATTGTATATAAGAACATAATACATGTATTACCATTATTAGATCACCCATACACAGACATATTAAATATATTTTTTTATTTTTTATACATGTTATTATATAATATTTTTTTAGAGAATACCAATTTCATTACCCTACATTATAGAAAATTTATTTGCCAATGTCATCAAAGCACAGGTAATGTTGAAGTTGTTCTCATTGATCCGAATTGGACATATTTGTGCCTTCTTCTTTGATATCGCCAACCGAGGCATTTATTATTTTATTATCTTTTAATGAGATCAACTGCAACACTTGTTCCCCATTTTGCCCGGTGATGGCTACCAATTGATGTGGTACACTAATAGTTTCCACTTCACCATTTGATGAATCCATCCCACCACCGGGCTCTGATTTGGGCATATGCATAACCGGTGTGACAACCTAAGATTAACAACAAATGTCTTAGTTGAATATACTTTAATATTATATGACTTTACTATACCTGTATGCTACCATCACTAATTTGTTGAACTACAGTTTGGTACAATGAAGTATTTACAGGGACTGTAATCATACTTGATACTAAAATATAAACCATGAAAATATAACAATTAATTAAGCTATAAATAAAAAACTAAAAAATGTAAACATATTGATGTTACAAATTTACTTTATGTTAATTATAATTTAAAAGTATAAATTAATTTTATTCATCATGATACTAAATATTCTCAAATGAGGCACAATTATTAAAAATAATTTCTAAGGAGAATTCAAAAATTACCTTGTCCATCTTCACCAGTTATAATTATTTGGCCTTCTTGATTTAATGTGGCCTCAGGTACATTATTTAATATATCTACAGTCACACCATCTTGATTTTGATTTTCCCCTATAGTGTGAACAGAATGAACAGTATGGCCATTTGCTCCTTGAGATGCATTTATCTTTACAGAAAAAGAATGGGACATTGAATTTCAAATTCATTTAAATAAAAAAAAATATGATACTTACAACTCCTTGAACATGGGCTTGAGTTCCATCAGGTAATGTAATAATTGGATTGTTAGGATCAACATGAAATATGGACATTGATCCATCAACATTACTAATAGAGTGCAGAAATGCTGGCGAATACTGTACTTATCAAAAAGTTTTATTAAAAATTAACATATTTTTACTATTGATAAGCTCCAAATTATACCTGAGTGAGTTGCTGTTGTTCTTGGGCATCTGGTGAATTTCTTGCTTCAATATTACTTGCTTTAGGATTGAATTTGAGCACAGAAGTAACAATTGACTGACTTGCAACACTAGTAACAATTGTTTTGGTTTCATCTTCTTCACTAAATGTAGGCAATAAATCTTCTCGACCATGATATTTATAACAGTTAATGACTATTTGTCTTAATGCTCTAGTCCAAGAAATCTAGAAACAAAATTAATTAGAAAAATAATTTAATAAATTTGCAATTTTATCTACACTTACTTTTTGTTTTTCGTCTTCACACCGAGCATCCATTCTAACATTGGCCCAAGGTAATTCTTTGGGCCACCAAGGTGGCCTAGTAGTTTCTCTTCCCCAACCAGGTTTTCCTCTACCTAAAAAAAACAAGATATTTTAACAAAAAAAAGATATGATACAAATTGTACTATTTATTCTACATTTTTTTTTTATAAATTAAGACTGAATTTTTGTTAATATTAATAAAATACAGTATTTTTAAAAAAATTACTTAATGAATAAGTATACTGATGTTTTTATGATAGAGTAAGAATTTATTAATATAATATATATTATTAAATTTTTTATAATATATAAATATTTTTTAAAGTGAATTATATTTGACTTATGAAATAAGTGAAGAATAATATATTAAGAACTATATAGATATATTCCAAAATATTTAATGATATATTGTTGTTTAATAATATTTTAATTTAACTTCATCTCACCTGTAGAGTATTTTAACATAAGAGGTATAAAAGCTCTTAATTGAGCCTGAGTCATTTTTTCAACAGGAGTTGGAATTCCATCAAGAATAAGTGGTGGTAACTCATATAGAGTAGGATCATCTGGAATAGGGGGTGGTGCATGTTGAGCTAATGCCGTATCCAATTGGTCCATAATAGTAGCTCGTAAATTTTTTACCTAAAGATAAGCAATTTTTAGTTACATGCTAAAAAAAAAAAGATATTTAATTTTAAATATACTTACAACATCTTCTAAAGGTTTTGCACCAAAACATTTGAAACCTGTAGTTTCCTTTCCAGGAGTTGCCACTAAAACTATGGCTTGTTGACCAACTCTAGTAGCAAATTCATCAATGGTAACCTTAAGAACAATATTTATTTTATACAATATATTTTTAGTTTTAATATTAATTTGAATAATTATTATCTCACTTTAAGTTTTCGTAGTAACCGATTATGTTGTCGTTTACGAATGGATGGATTTGTCTCAAATGAATGTGGCCGTTTTCTTTTTTTGGATGACACAATTGCAGCAGCAGCAGCCATTCCAACCGGTCCTGATCGACACAAACCATAACAAAGACCCCTATTGTTCGACGATCCGCTATTGCGTTTTTCTACCAGCCAAACACAAACACACACACGCAAAAAAAAAAAAAAAAAACAAAAAAATAGTGCAAAACAAAATAAAGACAAAACATGCAAAGTAATGACTTGATTAAACCATTTGTTTTAAATTTCAGATAAAACAAAACTTTTGAAAAATCTACAGAAAAATTAAATAAATAAATAATAATATAATTCTTTTTTTTTTTTACTATTTTTTTTTATGAAACATATTATCTAGTGTTAAATAAGAGGCAGTGAAAATAAATATAAAACAAGTGCTAATTACAACACAAATAATAACCAAAAATTAAGCTAACCTGCTGCTGCAAGCTGGGCAGTCACATCATCTCCCATTGCTGCAGACATTAAATCACTTTGACTTTGATTGGAATCTCCATCGCAATCATCTGATGATAAACAACCGTCGTCATCAAGATCACTGTCTCCAGTCATGTTGATGTCATTCCCACTACGGTCCATCATTGTAATGATTTTGTTTAGAAATTACCTATTTATTAGTACATACAAAATTATTGCATGATTAATTTAGTAAAACAAAAATAAAATTATGATTTTCTTACAAATTTAATAAATAATGAAGTAGACAACTCAGGATTGTCTCAATTTTAATGCTGAATAAAATTTGATGACTGAATGAAATCTAAAATGCATAATCTAAAACAAAAAAATATGAATTAAGTAATATTTTTAACAATGAAAAATTTTGCATAATCAACTCTAGTATGCATACCATAATTTTAACTAGGTATAAATAAGCCAAACTCTACTAATTTGAAGAACTAATAATAAGTATGACAAAAATGTATGGTAATAAGGGCATAATCATAACATATTCAATTTCAATAAATGACACATTTTAAATAGACTATTAAATTGTTTTAACATTTTCATAAACTTTTTCATTATATCTATTTCTTTTGTAAAATATTTTATCATTTTTGAAATGTGCTACAGAGAGGTGCTTTATAATAACTATTTGTAATTTAAACATAGAATAGATTAAAGAAAACTAGGAAAAATAATTGCAGGGATACATTGTAATAACATTTCAGATTATAATTAAAAATTTTATCAACTTATAGAAAACAACTAAGTTACATTGTACTTATTCATAAAACAAAACAATAATAATCATATCAAATCATAATGAGAAGAATAAATAACTTATGTTTAAGTAACTGTATGGACAAGAACAAAACAGGAATATATTTAATAACAATAAAACAATATTTCTGCAGAAGAAATATTAAATATGCTTCAACTTATAATTATAAAAAAAAACTGAGTAATAAAGTGTGGAGCAAATACAATATCAAAATAATTTCAAAAAAATCTCTAAATTACCTATATAAATATTTATTAGATAACACCAAATATGATAACAGCTACTGTTGAGTTTTATCTCCATGAACCCTTATCTATTACTCTAGTACAGCCGTGCACAACAGCTATAAGCAATTTTATCCATTTTGAATAATTTTAGTTAATTTTAAATTAAAAATGTAATAAGTAAACAAAAAAATTGGTTAGATTAATAAATGCCAATTTCAAAATATTGAAACTACACGCAATTTGAATAATTTATGTATTGAAGATAAATAAAAAATGTATGATTATATCAAATAAAAATATACGAAGAATATAATTGTCAATAATACGATAGTATTTATTCATAAAAATGGTGTTAAGGCAATAAGTAATCATTAACAACGTTAACACCTACAGTAATCGTCGAATTATTGTTCAAAGTAGTTTTAAATATTTTCATAATTCAGGCATATATATTTATATTATAAATAACAGTGCTACCGTGGGGTAACTAAAAATTTTAAGACAAATAAGTAAACGGCGAAACTTTATTAAACTTGAACACGATTATATGAATTTCATAAACACGGATATATTTAATCGGTAAAAAATTCCTTAAAATAAAACGACAATCGATCGAATTCAAATAATGATGATAAGTCAATGAAAATAAATCAACGCCATAAATAAAAAATCATAACCGACAATAAACAATACAGTAGTATTATGTTAACAATCGTATTCATTTCAAATCGTAATAATTACAGTTACCTGCTTTTTGAATTGAAACGAAATAGAGGTTCGCTTGATAGTAATAAATAGGTTTAACGCCTACGTACATAAAATTTTATTTTAATTATATAAACAGACGACGCGAGGAGCGAATAAAGACGCAATGTTGTGTGTGGGAATTTCGGAGTTAACAACACTGCGTTCGATTGTGTCGGGCGGCAGAACATTGGGGGAAAGTGTACGACGACATTGAATTAATACCATAATTATTATTACGTCGATGATCGATGGAAATGATAGGAAAAAATGGACCGTAAAGGCTCTAAAGTTCCATGCGTTTCCGCGGAACGTACGTGAAAAATACGGATTTTCAGTCCAAGGCAACGAAACCACGGTGGGAACATTTTCATCCGTCCGGCAACGACGGGTACAAAACGTAATAATATTCGGTCGCATAACGATATCGTATTAAAAGTATTATACGTGGCGCGGCGGTATAACAAGATGACGAAAGTAGCAATGATAAAATGTTACGGTGCACGGCGCGAAAAAATCGGTTTTTCGCAGAAACACGGCGGTCAAATCTATGACACACTCCTCCCGTTACTCCTACATTACTAGTAATACACATGACCACTACTGCAGGGAGACACAATTGCGAAGAGCACTTGTGACGCAGCACAACCGTAGTGCTGGAGTGGACAAACGGTACGATATGTGATACAGAACGACGTCATGTGCCTGGCGCAACTCGTAAGGCGCAAGAACACGGCTACGGCGGCGGCGTACGTAGGACCTCCGGCACGCAGTGGTGTGTTTGTGTGTCATGTGTGTGTGTCCGCGCCGCGTCGATTAGATCAAGACGCGCGCGCGGGCCACGGCCAACTATATTGTTTGTCTCCGGGGCCCGCCGCCGCACATTATCGATGGTCGCGCGCGCACACACGTACCGCGCACAACGGCGCACAAACAACGAACGCACACCGCCCACGATAATAATAATAATAATAATAATAACAACAACAACAACGTGAGAACAGTACGGCTGCGTACGCACCTGCGTGACGGGAGAACAAGCATCGGCGGCGGCGTCGTCGTGACGGCCCGGCACTGGCGTCAGCAGTACCCACGACGGCGGAGGCCATCATCGTTCGTACGCAACGATCGGCGAACAACACGCACAGCACGTAACGTCCACGGCACACGGACACCGTTTCGCGCACCTCACGAGCACCGATGCATAGCCGCACGTACCAGCGGTGGCCGGCGGCTGAGCTCAGGTCGGACGACACCCGTTTCTCGACACAGCACGACGTTGAAACCGGGATGCGCACGTACGGTAAACACGAAATAATACGGGCACCGGGTGTTTGTGTGTGCCGCCACGGGTACAAAAAATATTGCAACACAATACACACACGCGCGACGGACGCACACGACGCTCGACGACGCGGGCGGCGCGTAATTATCGATCGGTCCCAGCCGCCCGGCCGATCAATGTCGTCGCCATTTTGGCGCGACGCGTTCTCTGCTAGTCGTTTTCGTTACGTCCGTGCCGGTTGACACGGTGCTTTCGTCACCCGCGAACCAGTCGTGCACCGTATTATTGTTTCGGTATCGTACACGACAAATAGTCTTGGAAGTTTACGTTTGGTGAACTCTCGAAGCGTGTATAAACACGGCAGCCCTAATCGAGAGGTAAATTGCACAACGTATGTTTAACGGTATACCTTTTAACGTACGTTTTATTTTTATTTTTTATATATTCGTTCACGACGTAGAAGTGCAATATTGTATAATATTTTATAAATACATGAAGGTGTCGTGGGTCCGCTCGTTGTATAATAATACAATTTTATAATTGTATATTATTATAATATAAGTGCCGCACAGATAACGGTCGCCGCAGTATTAGACGTCGTCGTCGTCGAAGTGTTGTCGTCGTAGTCGTCGAAACACGCGTCTGCGCACCGACCCGTTCCAGTCACTTTGCGCTACTTCGCCGTGCAGGCGACACGCTCGCCCCTTCAGATCGTTCCGAAGCGTTGACCCACACCAGTACCGGCCTGGTCGTCCGCGAAAAACCGTCCACTATACCGGTGAAAACCTTCGCGCGTGCCCGATCGGTTTCCGCGTCCAAATACGCCCGACGGTGCGTGTTTGTGTTTGCGTACTCTCGGCGAGTTCTCGTCAGTCGGCCGTGCGGTCCGGTCCCGTACGTTTCGGTGGTTACTAATTTTGCACGCGTCCGTCGCTCATCCGCGACCGCAGCCATTTTGTTCCGCAACGTACGGCCATTGGTGCGCATGCAGCCTGCCATCTACCGGTACCGGGTAAACGTATTTTTTTTTTTCGCCCGCCAAATTTCGAAAACGTATACAATTATAACGTGTGATAACCGATGAGTCTGACGTTTTATTCTTGTACAATCTTGCGTAATTCCACATTGATTCGACGAAAGCGATGGGAATAATCGAATAATTAGTGCTTACCCCAAATAAAGATAATCATATGAGTCGTATTACTTATAACCGATTGAATAATAAATCCTTCGAATGATATTCTATATTCTAATTATTAATAGTGCGAAACACTGGAATTCCTTTTTTATACAATAAACTATATTATTGTTAAATATCACTTCTGTCCTATGTATTGACTATTAAGCCGATCGCACACCAAAAGAGCAAAACTATGATAGACAGTATTAGTAATTTATGTGTTAGTCAATCAAAAATAATTTGTTTTTATAAAATGTATATTACCTATAATATAGACAAGAAAAACACCAGTAGACAAAATAAAAATCTGAGCTCTAGTCATGACTAATTGAAGGATCCGGTGCAAAAACCGACTATCTCCACTTTTTGAAATTGTTCAGGACAAACAAATAACTAAATTGTTTGATTTCTAATGTGATTATAAATATTGTAAATACATATTTGAATTCTCTAAGTGAAGAGCTACCTATGCGAGTATACATATTTAAATTTTAGTTTATTTTAATTACATAATTTAATTCGCAAAAATAAAGAAACATGGAGATACTTGGTTATTGCACCAAAATAATTTTTCTTTTTATATTTTGACTTCACAACAATTTGAGGTGAAAATATAACCACAAATAATACAAAACTGTGCAATATTAAAACTATGTATTATAAACTATATTTTAAAACGTAGTTTAGGAAAAAAAAACAACTTATTGATTTATAATAATAAATTAACTAAAAATTACGGAGATACCCGGTAATAGTACCGAAATTCACGTTTATATCAGAAAAGGTACTGATTATTGAGATGTTTATTTTCAACTCTAGTGTAATGTATTATGTATACATTATATTTTTTCATACGTATTTTATGCTAGGGCGCAAAATTGTTAAATACGGCACTGATTAGAACTGATTAATTTAGCACTTCTTTCGTAAGAAAGCTTGGAAGTTTTACTGGCGTGGGTTGAGGAGGACGGGAGTTATGGGTATTCTCAGTTAACACAATATAACACTAGGTGGTAGTATCGTCATCATTGGTGCAACTAGAGGGGGACTTGGGGGGGAGGCTTAGCCCCCAAATGTATTATAGCCCTCTCAAATTTTTTGATTATTTAAAATTTAATGATAATTTAAGCATGGGATAGTGAGATACACACTAAATAATATGAATATATAACGCAGAGAATTATTCAAAAGTAAATTGTATAAATATAAAATATTATTATTATAGTTTATTTTGTAATTCCTATAATCCTACATAGTTAATAATAATATTGTTATCTAATAAATGTGACGGACGACGGTGGAATATTGTGGTGGTGTTATGTCATATTTTATGTAAAACATATTACATAGAAGTAGGTACATGATTTTTAATAATATAGTATGGTAATAATATTTTATGATTGTTTTTATTTTAATTAATAATTATTGTTCTGTGTCTGCGGCAAGGGGGGTATGGGGGGGGGCGAAGCCCCTCATAGCTCACATTGACTATATTTATTTATAGGGCTTCAGCCCCCTCCCCAATATTTTAGACCTAGTTGCGCCAATGGTCGTCATAGACATTGTTTCACGGTCAGTTGTATCAATCAACGTTAAACGAGTGCAGTCCGTGGTTGGCGGTAGTTTACCAGACACGCGCCTATTAGTGTTTTTTTTTTCTATCGGAAATTGTAACAAAATGTTAGAATTGATTTCATATTTTTTTTTAGGTATATTACTTTTATATTCCATAGTTCAGTTGTAAACGTATCCAACAGCATTATCATGACTAAGCATTAGACTAAAATGCATCTCTTGTGATAGAAGCATTTGTCAAAAACAGTCATCACATAGGTGATAAGTAGGGAACGGATTTATATGTAAATGCATATTTTTATTAAAACGAGATATTTAAGATTCGATAAGAAATGTTTATGATTTAAACCATTCCTATTAAAATTATGATACTTTTATTTTACATATTTTTACATATTTTACTAATTTTTAAATATTTTTAAACATATTTTTATCATTTCATCATTCATACGTCTTCTTTGAACGAAAATACAAAAAATTATTTCAAAATTAGATCCAGAAACTTCTATCGCTATTGGAAAAGCTCAAAATATTATGCTAAATGAAACATTGAAAATAATTTAATTTTAATTAAAAATAATTTAACAAAATTATTAATAAAAAATATGTCCCCAAATAATAGTATGCAAATTGTTGAATCAGCGATTAAAACTCGTAAACGGACCAATAGATGTAAAAAAGAAAATTCATGCTGTTACAGAAAAAAATTCCAGGCAATATTGATTTTAAAACAATCAATGATATAATAAGTGGCAGACACCCTTCTAAATATTTGGAATTATCGCCTTCTGATAGTACGCACTTGAAATATGCTTTTAATACATCGGTTGATATGAAACGATAATTTAGCCGTTTTAAAAATATTTTGATACCTAGTAGGCGACATTTAACATTTGATAATTTAAAAGATATTGTAATAATTCAATGCAACAAATCATTTTGATAATTTAATAATAATAATCACTTTTTTCCCCCCACATATTTGGATGTTTTTAGCACATATTTTATAAATTATACTTACATATATATGTAAATATTTCTGTATTTTTATTATATATAAATCCGTTCCCTAGTGATAAGTATGATAATTGCCAGAATGACGAATTAGTTGATTCTGATGAGGATTTTGTTTGATATTCAGATTTGTTTTATTTTTACATTTTCAATGTTTAACTTTATATTATTATTTTTTTTTTTTTTTAAGGTTCAATGTTTTAATAACTCTATTTTATTTATATTTTTAATTTTTCAATTATTAATGTTTGTTACTAAAGTTAATAGTTATGTTTTTTTTTCAATATTTGAAGTTTTAATAATATTTATTTTGAATAATAAATTATATTACTATATTGCATATTGTGTACTAGATTTTTTTTCATAATATTTATCACAATCTAAAATATTTAAGATGAAACGTTGAGCTAAAAAGTAATAAAAAACTCGGAGGCGGTAAATTACAATTGTGCTCCCGCTGAAGCTATGGATGGAGGGCGCTCGGATGAAGGTTAAAAAGGTTAATTATTATAAAAGTAAAGTAAATGAATAATAAGATAGATACGTGACATTTGATAAAATATTATGCTATCTGTGGTTATCACTTATAATATCATGCGGTATGAACAGTGTAGATAGTTCATTTTTTGGTGCAGTAACATGGTATATATGGAAATACCCGCTTATTGCACCGAACACTGTAACCAAGCATCTCCATTTCTATATTAGCTTATCTAATAAGTTGTTATTGCACCCAAATTTCGACAAAATTATTCTTTATCAGAAAATGCAAAAACATGCATTTCGAATAAAAATGGTGATAGCCGGTTCTTGCACCGTACCTTTCAATTGTGTTCTAAAGCAAAAACGTTTTGTTTTGACTATTTCTTAGTGTGCATATGCAATGTAGTTTCTAATGTTCAATTTTTAACAAAACTGTGTTAGATTAACTAAACGCAGTTTTGCTTTTTTGGTGTGGATCGGCCTGACATTTTATCAATTTTAAAATTAATCTGATAATAGTTTTTTATTTATTTTAATTCAGTTAATTTATCATTCAAATGGTTTTTAATAATAATTTCAATATAATATAATAAGAAAATATCTACCCATTCAATAAATACATGAAGAAATGTATTGCATTTATTTGGAAATATATGAACATTAATATATGCAATTTAATACATGTTGAATGAATCAAGCTCTATTTTTAATCATACAATTATTAATAGCAATAAAATAACAATAATATAAATAATTAATATTAAAAATATTATATTGAGAAATTCACAAATTTATGCTCTACATTGGTAAGTAGATGTGATTAATGATCACATCTAGATATGATTATAGATGATGATTGTAAATCAATAATTAATTATACCATAAAATCAAATTTGAATCAATTAAAATACACCTTGGATTTTTTATTTAACATTTTTTCTTTATTACAAAAAACTATGCTAATTAATTAATTATTTCAAGATATATATATCCAAACTAAATAAACAATAATGAAAATGTTAACATAATTTTGATTTAATAGAAATATACTATATTGTAATCATAACTTAATAGTATTTCACTGAATTATAATAAGAATACTTCAAATTTTAGTTATTTAGACTAGTTTAATAGTTTCTTTATTTTCATTAGATTATTTTAGTGTTTAAAAACTTACCTAATCACATCGGTTTAAATTCTAATGAATGTACATTTCAATATTTAATTATACTTTACAAATCACAGATAAATTAGTTCTATAGGTAATATTTTTTTAAACATATAAAATTTTACATGTATTGTGCTAATCAATGGTGACTTTTGGGTACTTCATCATAATCTATATCATCCATATCATCATCGTCATCTTCTTTATGAGAATGTTGATATTCTGATCTATGATTATATTGTTTTGGCTTTGGTACTTCTATATTAAAAATAAAACTAGTTAACAATTTAACGTTTGATTACTAATTTTGCGATAAATTACTTCTCTGACAAAATTTCCCTGACCATCCTTGTTCACATCTGCAGGTTGCATTTGCTGTACAATAGCCCTGACGGCATGGCCGCTTACAGTTGAAATGTTGTGGCATAGGTTGACCAATTTCACAATGGTCTCCTTTAAAACCATAAACACATCTACATTTGTTAACTCCTTTACATTTGCCACCATTTGAACATGGTATAATACATTTAGCTAAAAATACCAATTTTGTACATAACAAAATAAACTTTATTAAGATTATAAAACCTTACAATATTCACACCGTAAACCATAAAATCCTTTTGGACATTGGCATGTATCTTTTTGTATACATTTTCCACCATTTAGACATTTCTCTGTACAAATACCTGTAAATAATGTAAATATTAATTATAATTAATAAATATGATTTTTTATTTCTTTTTTTTTGTTATAGATTCTTAATTAAAAAAAAATGAAGTTGTTTCAACATACAATCACATTATCTAAAATTATTGGTCGAAGAGGTTTACATGGTGCTAACCAAAAATTAGATAGTATTCTAAGAGTCAATCATGCTGGAGAACTTGGAGCTGATTGTATTTATGCAGGACAAATGGCAGTATTAGGTATGAAAATAAAATAAATCTTACAGCCACAAATTTAATATTTTCTTATATTTATAGGAAACACTAATGTAGGCCCTAAAATTAAGAAAATGTGGGAACAAGAAAAAGAACATAAGCGTACATTTGAAGAACTTATAAATCAACACAGAACTCGACCATCTTTACTCTATCCTTTATGGCATTGTGCCGGTTATTTTCTTGGAGCTGGTACTCTGAATTTAAAAAAATAACTGTTAAAAATATTTAAAAAGATTTATTTTCATTTAATTTATAGGTACAGCACTTATGGGTCCAAAAGCTGCTATGGCTTGCACTGTTGCGGTGGAAACAGTAATCGTAGATCATTACAATGATCAATTAAGAGAATTGATGGCTGACCCAAAATCTGATCCAAAGCTACTTGAAATAATTAAAAAGTTTAGAGATGAAGAACAAGAACATCACGACTGTGGTATTGATCATGGAGCTGAGCAAACGCCATTTTACAATGTATTAACAAATGTTATAAAATCTGGATGCAAATTAGCCATAGAAGTAGCAAAGAAAGTGTAAAAATATTTAACTTGTAAAATAATATAATGTTTATAGTGAAATGTTAAATCTATATTTTTTGGAAGAATAAATAATAAATATTTATTAAAATGATTACCTCCTTCACAATGTGGCCCTTGAAAACCTAGTGGACATCGACAAACACCTGGTGCCACACACGTACCGTTATTCATACACTGAGGATAACACAAAGCAGTTTTGCAGTATTGTCCCATGTAGCCTTCTGGACACTGACATATTTTTTCTGCGTTGCACCAACCATTGTTTTCACATTTTTTATCACATTCTGAGTCTGGACCTTTGAACATAATTTTTGTAAGCATTATTTTATTGTTTATGAATCAATTAATCAATAATTATTAATATCAGCAGTTCCTAATTATTTTCCAAAACCTTAAGACTATTAATAAAGGAAATAGGTAAATTATTTAGCTAATCAATGTGTGTAAATTAAATACAAAAAAGCTGATCAGATAAAAGTTTTAAATAAACTACTTGGATAAATATCAAAGAGTTACCAAATAATAAATAGATTTAAAAAAAAATGTAATTATTAAAATACTGACTTGAATCATTTAAATTAATTTATATTTAATTGATTTTAAAAGTTTGAATTGCTTATTTCAATTTGTGGAAAAATGTAAATGTTATTTATGTATTGCTATTTTCAAACATTTGAATACACTTATAACAATAATCTTATAATAAATAATATATTTTTACTTAATTTAAAATTTGAAATAAATTTTTTTTTTTTTTAAACATATATATTATAAGAAAATTAATTATATAATATGTTAATTATTCCTGTTAGAAAAATACAAAATTAATATTTCTAAGAGTTAATTAATTGTTAAGTTTTCAAGGGCTTCCGCATGTGAAAGCAAATAGAACAAATTTCCAACCCCTCTAAATGATTTCCACAATAAGTCAATTTAAATTATTTAACAAACTTTTTAGGTTTTAAAAAATATATTTTATTACAATTACCTCTCCCTTGACAAATTTGAGCGGATGCCCTTGTAGGCATTTATGTTGATTACTTAGACTAGTCATTGTTCCACTTTTGGATCCAGAAACAGTTTATGCTTATGTTAAATTTGTTTAAAATACTACTGTAGCTAAAATAATACATTGTGTAATAATAATGCTAATTAAATATAGATAAATAATAGAAATATGATTATTTATTAATGAAGGATTAGGCAAAGCATTTGTTCTTACTTGTACTTTTACTTGTACCTCTAACCATACACTCTTTTCTTAGTTTCACTTTTAATGGTGTATCGGGAAGAGCACGACCTTTCCTGTTCATTATTATTAGTCGTATACTGAAACTGGCAATACCCGAATTGTTTCCCGAACAAGGTAACAAGATCCTAAATACTGAAATGAACAATGTATATAAAAAACTAATTAATACAAATTAATTTAGTTTTCAATCATATATATATATGTTTACTGGCAATATAGATGATCCGGTATTTTGCAAAATGCCAAAAATCACTCGGCAATGTACATAATATTATGTCATACGTAGACTAGACAATATGATGAAAATAAATAAAATCGGGCATCGCATATTACCAATGATAAGTCATTTATCATAAATGTGCGTGCACGATTTAACGCAATAAAGATTAAGATTATTTTACTACATACTATAATAATAATTCCTAGGTATAATATCGAACGTACTAATAATTTTATTACAATATCGTAATTTTTCTCGTCATTTTCGTGTCTCGTCATGATGTAACTATGAATACGATTTATATGAACTCAAATTTTTATAACAAACTACAACATTTTTTTTAAAAATTTGACAACTAATACTGATTTTTTATCTGATGAACAGTATAATGAGTTGATAAAAATTCAATACACAAGAATTAACCAAGGATTTTTAAAATGTGTTGTAAGTCCAAGTGTCAAAATAAAAAGTGTATTTGCCTTAAAAATAACATTTCATGCACTTCAAAATGTAATTTTTCTACAACATGTTATAATAAGTAAATAGTATTTTAAGTGAAATTTTTATATAATAGTAATAATATAATAATAGATAAAAATTAAATTTTGTCTGTAATATGAGTATTAATATATAATAATTATAAGAGTTTTAAAGTAATATAGCATAAAATAAAATGTTTTGTACTTTGCCTAAAAAAAAAATTGGCATTTTGCATAATGCCTAGGTATTTTATAAAATACCTGAATTGTCCATATTTTTGGTGACATATACATATACAATATATGTATACTTTAATACCATATTGCTTATTTCTAGAATAACATCTAGTGATGAATTTTGACATAGAAAACAATTTTTATTAAAGAAAACTTGTCAATTGTTAACCTTAATAATATGAATGAAATGAACTAGTAATGGATGGCCCATATATACATATATATTATATCTAATTATTAATAAAATATAATCACGTATTAAACATGTAGGTATATATCAGTGTCAAATATTGAAATACTTATATATATTTACTGATTTAAATACATAATTTTATATATCAACTAATTTTTAAATTATTAAAAGAGATAAATAATTATAATTGATCACTTATTACAAATAATTAAAAACTATTTTATTTCAATATATTTTTTATATAATTACAAATTATAATTTATTGTTGTCATTTCCATTAGAATAGTTTGGCCTAAAATAAGTTATATTTCTTATTAAAACAGGAAATAGGTATCACAATTAAAAAATCCTTGTGAAATACCTTGACCTTGTAAATATTATCTATGTATAAATTCATAAATACACCTAACCTAAATGAGTCTACACAATAATTTATGTGCAAATGCATCGTACGCGTAAAAAATTCTTTAGATCTTGAGGATTTCATTAAAATATGTTTATGATATGGAATTAAATAAAAATGTACTAGTTTCATACACCTAATATGCGATGAATACTTCATAGTAGGTGATTCATAACAATAATAAAATACGTAAGTAGGTACACAAAGATTTAAATCGTTATGATTCGTGATCACTTTTAAGCTTTTGAAATCATGACTAATCTTAAGACTTTCATTGAAATAACATGCTTAATCTTATAGTTAGATTTATGTTCTAAATTAAGCTTTTCTAAGACAAACAATTTGAACTTTTTTTTTATGACAATTTGAATAACTTAAATATTTACAAAAATCATTTTTCGTGTACGCTCGTAAATTTATATAATTATCATTAGATATGTTAGAACACATCTATTTAGGTACCTATCAACATACAAATTATACTAAATTACAATACTTAATAATTATTAATAAATAAATAATTTTAACTATGCTTAACCATAAAGTATTTCATTATTCTAATTTTAAATAAATACATTTTATTTTTTTAATAATAGTTATTTTTCTGTTATTCAATTTTTTTTTTCGTTCACAAATTGAAAAATTATATTTATCATCTAGATCAGGGGTTGGGAATCTTTTCATTGAAAATAGTCATTTTTTAAAAAAGTTACAAAACCATGATATCCAGAGAGCCTTATGAATAAATTATTTTTTTTTTAGTCATAAGTTTTCATCAGAAATTATATATTTTGGTTGTCCCATGATGTTTTGAACTAATGCAAAAGTATCAGTCCGCTCACTTCGAAATCCTATATTTTCCTTTTTAACTTTGCGCGTTTTGTTTATAGAAATCTTGTTCACAATATTGCTATATTGCTAGTGGTAAGAGATCGTTTTCTGTTTTAAGACGTAGGTATTAAAAAAATTATTTAAGATCGTCATTAATATAAGAAAAAATGTACAGTTTATCAATTTTATGCATAAAATCTTTTTTGTTTGAAGAAATGAAATAGAAAGAACTGATCTAAAAATTTGAAACTATTAAATGCATAAAAAAAATACATTTAAAGAAAAATCAATATTAGTTTTTTTTAATTTACGTTAATATTAAAAATCACTATTTATTATCTGTATATTTTTTAACCAATTTATTAATATCATAATTTTATTTTGTGATTGTTTTCCATTCATTTAAAAAAATTCTTTAAAAAACTATTCTGTGACACTAAACATATAATTATACATTTTAGAAAAAGTGGGCATTAACTAGTTAAAAAGTTAATTTTTTTTAATATTTTAACTTAACTAGTTTAATTGGCAGTTGAAATAACTTAGCTTTTCACAGTTGATTTAAAAATGATCTATCAAGTTAAAAAAATTTTGAAATTTTTCGTTTATACGTAAATATTAATATAAAAATTAAATAATCATGTATAGTAAAATTATTGTATACACTGTACATCAGTTATCATACTAGATTTTGTAAGTTGGGGGCCCACTTTTGAGTATTGGGTTCTGGCCGTGGATACAAAATGTTATGTACAAAGAATTTTAAATATAAAGATAAATAAATATATACGGTAGTGAGTGGCCCAGTGCATTTTATAAGGAATTTTCACTGGGCGACAAAAAATGTTTTTCTGAAAATAGTCAATGTATAATACCATAGTACGATTATAGTATTACACGTTTGTTTCGCATTATTTCGCCCAATCTTTTAAAATATTGTCGACAGAGTATAATTACTGGGTGACATTTGTGTCGCCTAGTTAACTAGTTAAAAAATGCACTGGAGTGGCCCCTTGATGTACAATGTCATAGTATTTTTTAAACACTTCGGCACCACTGCTGTATATTATGATAAAAAATTCAATAAAATTGTTTATTAAAATTTAGGAAATTAGATATTTTTAAAGAACGCAGTCACTTTTTATATGATCTACATACTAATTAAAAAAGTAGATTAACTTTTTTTGTACTAAGTTAAGTTAATATTTTTTTCCTTATTAACTTTTAACTTATCGAATTAAATTTATGAATTGTTAACTGTTAAATTTTAACTTATCGATCATTTGTTCTCTTAACTCGAGTTATTTTCATTAACTTGCTCACCTTTGCTTTTTAGTGTAAGTAGATTAATTATTATATAGACATATTTTATAATAGAATTTAATTTTTCTAATTTTTTCATAGAAACCAGGATTTTTTTTTTTTTTTGATCTCATTAAAACCTTTTTTTTTTTTGTGAGGAGGAGACAACAATTATTTGTTCCAGAGCGGTATCGGCCGTTGATCCGGCACTGCGTCCTTTTATATATACATTATTTGTATAATTAAGTGTAATTTGCATGTTGGTTTTTGAAAAACAAAATATTCACCAACTATCTATTAGATTTTTGTAAAGTGGACTGAATACCAAACATTCAAAACAGCCTAGAAAAACTGTATACGCTTGAATCCTATTTTTAATTTGTATATATTTAATCAGTATTATAGCATTTTATATTAAAATTATAATATTATTGTAATTTGTTTTAGTGTAACAATCATAAATAAAAAATCAAAGTATTATAAAATCAATACTTTATGATATAGATATTATTTGATTAAATAATTTTACCGTAAATTTTTATTATACAGGTAGATTTTTTCACAATAAAAACAGATTTTGAATAAGGGGATTTAGTTGTTATGTACCATTTATCATTGCTTTTACATTTTAAAACCCATCTCAACGACCCGCTCAACTGAGCCTAATCCCATCAAAAATCAATTGGATTTTTAATATAATATTTTATAAATATGATAAATATTATTTCTTTTTAAGATTTCAGTAGAAGGGAGGTTTAAAGAAAAGGATGCTGCTAAACATCTGTCTATATAAATACCAAAATATATTTCAGTTTCTATATATCTTTATTTGAAATAGTAATACTGTCAAAATTATTTATTAGCCTATCTATGAGATAAATCAAACATACGATAATAATAATAAACATTTAATATAAAAACATAAATATATTCAATAAATACGTATATTATTCAGTGAATAATAATCACGATTCACAATGCTATGGTATCACAGTACTGCAATATTCGATCACAGAACTCCAATCCCGATAACACTAACTATACATGGAAATTATTCAACGTAAAATCAATTATCTATTATATATCTTCAATAATATAATATAATATCTTCGGTTATCCCGAATTTCGATATATATCGCGATAATAGATAGAATTGCAGATAAACAAGGGGATCTCAAACGCTATCACCAAGGTGGATATATATCCACCTTGGCTATCACAATAATATAAGTAGAAATAGATTTGGCGGAAACGATGACCGCCCAGTGGCGCCACAATAACCATAAAATTTTCACAATGTGGCCATTAATTTATTTTTAGTACATTTACATTTTTTTTTTAATGTGTAGTGCATATTATTATGTTTTTGTTTTGCAAATAAAGCCTATTTGGTAATCTAGAGTTGTTTTAAGGATTAACCTAATATCGACATCTTTTTTCTCCTACTTTCGCGAAGTACACACAAGACTCTAACAACAAAATATGAAAATGGTATATTTTCATCAATCGTAATAAAAGCATTAGACTTGGTAATACTATCAGTGCCGCAACTACACTAACTTGGGCCCATGTGTAAGTAAAAGGAATGCCCTCCCCCCGCATCTTGACTCTGCAGGAAAACCGTACCGCATTTGTAAACTATTTTGAATTTCGATTATACAGGCTGTAAAAGAAACGCTGATGTACTATAATGTGTACAAGACAAAATCAATCAATTATTTTTCAATCTCCATAAGTAATTATTATTACAAAATGGTTTTATTTTCTTGCTTTCTACATATTTTAAAATTATTGCTATTGGGCCCTATTATAAGCTAGAGTCATGGGCCTGTGTGTTTGACACACGCAACTTACTCGGTTATTGCGGCACTGAATACAATGCACAGAGACAAATTATCACCGCATAGTGATGTCATTAACGCGTTTATGTGATCAGTCCTCGCTAAAAATCACGCCACCGTAAGAAATGCATTAAAATAGTGAATTAATTTCAAACAGACCACAAGACATTATTAAATATTGAAATGTGTTTTTTATTCGATTGGATTAATTATTTTACTATTAACTACTAATATTTTTCTATATAATATAAGTAAAATACCAACAACGTATTTCATTTTACTTGTCATTGATAAATTATTATAACATTTGATATGTATTGTATTCATATTATCTTTTGACATTTTTATGAATATCTACTGGTATTTTAGAACCTAAATCCATATTATGGTAACAAAAACGGTGGAAATACAAATAATTTTTGAAAATATATTGTAATCCCAATACAATACATATACCCACAATAAATAACCGATTCAGACTTTTGAAATAAATAAAACTGTTAGGTCCTATAATTTCTAAATAATATATATATACACATATGAGTCATGTGCTCATTCATAATGTATGTATTCACATGTATATGACAACAAATTACATACAAAAATTAGCCATACGTTTAAAAATATGTAGGTAGATGAATACTTAACATTATTAATATTAATTGTTAATTGTTAAATATACCAAAAGAAATGTATACAATATTAATAAATTTATTTTTTTAATGATTTTTATTAAGTAAAAAATAGTACTATAATAGCAAATGTCAACAATATCAACACTAAACTATACATATTTTACTCTCACCTTCTCTTCCAGCTATCTGGGGTCCGTCACTCTCATTCGCCACCACCACGATGTATAATTTCTTCCATCTCTTGCCCCCATAAACGACTAACCATAATTTCACCCTCAATCAGAAATGGATACAATGGGAGGTTGAAGCCTCCCCTATTAGACATTAATTATAACCATATCCGATACAGGAACTAAAAATATTTAATACATTAGATGTAAAAAAGACCGTACAAATCGACATGCACAATGAATTATGGCAATAACTAACTTTACTAAACCCCCCTTTCATTTCTAGATCCACGCCTGCTCTCAATGCTATCCAATAATTTCTTCCTTTACTTCTTTCCCCTTCTACATTCATTTTCATCGTGATACATCTCACTACCTTATATTTCCTTATTTTTCTTCATAAAATGCTCGAACCTACTCTAACTCTCTAATTTTTTCCACATTTGATATCGCTAATATGTTTAAAATTATATTTAAATTAGATAATTAACTATATCAAAAATTTGAAAGTATTCTAAATTAATTATTACATTTATATATAACCTATAAAATTGAAAATAGTTAAAATATGGAATTTAACATTTTTTTTACACTTCAATTCAGTGTTTATCTACCTATTAAATTTTAGTTTTAAGTTAAAATTAAAGTTTTACCATTATGTGTTTTTTCTTCAATTTTGACCAGAAGGTGACCAATCATCACTAAATAAAAAGTAGAATATAAGAAATCTGGGCTTAAATATAGAATTTGTATAATAAAGAGGTAATTTTTTATTTCTCAACGGTTTTCGAATAATTAAGAAAAAAAGAGAAACAACTTTAAAAAAATTTCAATTTCAACTGAGATTCAAACTCCATATAAACTAATAATCGCTTATTATTTTGTCACACAATTTTTTTTAGTCTGTTTACACGATTTTGAATAGGATTGCTCCAATCATCATCTTTATAAGAGATTCCTGATTGGAAAAATTATTTAATTAATACTATGAATAGGGCCATTGCAAAATTTCCAATAGTTTTCTTTATAAATGCGACAAGCTGACGAAAAATGATATAAAATAACGGTAAAGATTACATAATATTGGATTTAAAAAAAAAAATGAATTTTCGTTTTCATCCTAATTCAAAAAATAATATTTGTAGAGACTTGAACATTTCACTGAATTCTTATATCACCATTTGCTGTAAATGATATAATTTGCAAAATATTTTTTTGAGTTATTGAAGTTTTAATTTTTTTCGAAAATGTCACTAAAATAATTTATATAATAATGTATGAGCGTTTAAATATTTAATCAGGACCGTATTTAGGGGGGAGCTACAGGGTGCTATTGTCCCGGGTGGCTGAATATGAGAGGATGGCTAATTTTGTATATTTTCAATATTTAATGATCTAATATTTTTGAAATGAAATTTCCTTACAAAATAAAAAGTGTATCTCAAAAAAGGATATGTACCGCCAATCACGGCGTCACGAAACACACACACACACACACAAATACTCGGTAACGGTCGAGTACTGTCGATAGATCCAAAGATTTACAAACAATCTTTCTTTATATTAACATTGCATTTAAAATTATTTTGTGTACACCAGCAACGAATTGTTCATCAGAAAGATCTTTTTCAACTCGCAGAAATTTGTATCTGGTTTAATGAAGCGTTTTTTTATTGTTGAACTTAGTGTCAAATTCCTAAATACGACCCTGTATTTAGTTATCACAAATCGATAAAAATCACAAAAGTTCATTACATTTTAGTTATCAAAAATTCATTTAATTTTCAATTTTATACTTAAAATTTGAAATTGAATTAGATTTTGACTAGGTTTTGAATTAGATTTTCTTTATAGCTAAAAAAAAAAAATACTAGAAAGTCACAAAAATGTTTTATAAGTGTCATAGAATGAAATTTTTAACGAAATCAAATATTCTAACGAATTACGATATTAGTTATTTGGTAAAAGATATTTTTTATAATTTTGAAATACCTACTTAAATTATATTTTTGCAGTTTTAGGCACTTGAGATTTTCCCAAATTTTTATGCCTTTTTTTGCAAAAGTTACAACACTAAAACTTCAACCTAACTAATAAAAAAAAATTGATTTTACTATATTAATTATCCGTAAAAATATAATCTGATTCTAATATAAATCGACTTTTGTCATTCTGGATTATTTTTTCGAGAGTAATGTGGTACATGGATTTTAAGTTTAAAAGATCAATACAGCAAACTCGTAATTTTCTAATCCTAATATATTTTATACTTAACGTATTAACTTGTGGTAACATCTGCTTTAAATATATAGTCCAGGTCTATAAAATTAAATAGAAGTATTCATATTTATAATAAAATGCATATTTTAGAAAAATGTAAAAATAAAGGCATATAGATTGAATCTAAAATAATCATTATAAACGCTAAAATATTTTACCTTTGGGTCTTCTAGGTATTTGTCCTTTGGTCTCTATAGTTACTGTGGGTGGTTCAAGTATATTTTCATCATCTGATTGCAGTATGTCAAACGCATAAAAGTATTTCTTGTTTCCAGACATCCATGTGAAATTGACGTAACCCACCTGTTTATAAATTACGTAGGTACTTAATATAATATAAAGTACCTATATGAAGTATTGAAATTTAAGTTTTAAATAAAACAGTTAAAAACACTTACTTCTGATGGAATAACGGGCAAATACTGTTCAAAATTTTTGTCTAAAATATATGGAGTGACTTTACCTTCCATAATTGCATATATTGGCATTTTAAGACCTGAAAATAATTGTGCATGAAACAAGAATTATAATTATAATGATATTTTTGATATATAATAAAATAATAAAAAATTTAATTAAAATTGAAAATTAATAAACGGTTTACTCATAAATTAATATATAAATAAATAAATAAGTAAATAAATAATACATATTTTTGATATACTAAATATTTCATTATATCGACATTGTATCGAAATATTTATAAAAGTAATCACTTCCATAAACAACACTTATATTTTCTACATGCATTTTCAACTTAACTATAAATTTATATAGTATTACAATTATATTTTTTAATCAAACAATTACTATCTGATAATGACGATATCGTGAGGTTTTATATTGCTTACGATAGGTTAACAAACTAAATAATAAATACCTTATAAATAACAAATTGATTACGTAATAATATATATGTATAAACGAATATAAAACAAATAATTTCAAAATAGAACAACTAATGACTAATATTTATAAAATTGAAATACCAAATACTTATAGATATAACGATGAGTCATTTATTTTGCTGACACGATACAATTGTTGTAATTGTTGTTTAATACATTTTAAAGTATTAAAAATAATTGGAAAAATGTATGGTGAATTTCAAATATTTTAAATATATATATCCATTTTTATACCTAGACGAAACTGTAAGAAAAAATTTAAAACAATCATTTTAACAATACGATTAATAGTTTTTAAGTTGTTTAATTATAGTAGTATTTTAAATTTTTTTTTAAACAATTTACAGTTCCTAAAATGTTTTCAAAAGTATAAACTACTTTTTATTTAGAACAAATAACTTTTAATTATAAATGTTTTATGCACCTACTGTAGATCACAGCGTAATAGTTATAAATACATTTTTTCATTTTTTCCATAGAAATGTGCTATAGTTATAAATTATAACTTATAATGCTAATATAAACATTAGTTGAACCTAAAATATTAAGATTTATTACAGTATAATATATTTAGTTGCATGTGATTGCTAGTGATCCACAATGAGATTTTTTTTACAGTTTATCAGTCTATTCCTTGTTATACAATTTATATAACTATTTTTATGTATTAACTAAAAATAAAGGAATTTAAATTATCATTCATGTAAAACATAAACAAATTAAAAATGGATTAAAAAAATAATTGTTACGGATTCACTTTTAAACATACGTCCTTGGATAATATTTATTGCTTATTGAATTATTTATTACTAAACATGTTTATTCAATAATTAATATAATTATTAATTATTATTAAATATAGTACCACCAAAATCACAGTTGATAAAATACATTCAAACATGGATGATGAGTATAATACAAAAAATCGTCATTAACGAAAACTTTAATACGTATTGAAACATAACACACACACACACACACACACACACACATATATATATATAAAATAAAACATTATATATATTGTAAACAAGTTCCTGGATATAATTATATAATAGTTTATTTCAGCGAGAGATTTACATTTTGAAATTATTCATCTGCAGTTGGTAAAAAAAAGAAATGTAAACATTTTTTTTTTTTAATACAAAACAAAAGGAGGAAAACTTCCATAGTAAGACTATTAAAGAATTCGGTTAACTTTACGTAATACGTAACGTTACATATCAAGTCAGACACGTTTTTGAACGCAAGTCACTTGACATTTATGTAGGTCTTTAATAGACCTTATTCAGAATAGGCGACTATCACAATAACTGCAATAGCTAAAAGCTAAACATAAGTCATTTTAAAAAAATCATAACTTTTAAGGCAATTAGAAGTGATATTTTTTTTTAATACTATTCGCAGTAAAGCTCATTTATATTAGATACGGAGTTGTGGCTAGTGAATTTATTGTTAGTCCACATATTGCCAAGTATACTAGTTAATCCTAAAGAAACCAAGGTGGGCATGGTTCGTACAGAATTTCGGGGCTTAAATATTGCCTAAGATTGGTAGAGTGGACCATTTAGAGTATTTTTTCAGAGTTGTAATTGTGCAATAAAATATAACGCTTTTTAATATGTGCTAGATGTATAGGGAGACTCAATTGTGTCCTTATTTACCCCCGTTTGAACTTCTGATTATAATAGTGTAATATCGCATATGGATATGAGTAAGTATGTGATATTATAAAAACTTTCAATGCTCACCACTGTACATTTTCACTTGCTGCTCGTCGATCCACAAAGACAGATTGTCTCTTTTCGTCTGTTGCTGTTGTTGCTTATGCTTGAGCGTTCCCACGACTACAACCGTAGCGCACAGTGGCAGTAGGTACCACGCCGCGGCTGGTAGACGCGCCATGCACGTTCGTTTCGCTAGCAGTACACTCGTCGTGCGTACCGTATACGGCGGCTATTAGAGTTCACGCTAATCACACAATCTTAGTACGCGCGGGTACTTACCAGACACCTGTTGAGCGAACGGCAGGATATTTTTATTTTCTTCTCCCTTGCGTAGTACGGTGCCCAGTTGCAGCTTGGTAGTGGAGGTGGGCCGGCTTTAATATAAATGTATTTTATCGTATAATGGTATATAAAAAAATTGAACACGGTTGTATACGGCCGTTCGTTGCCGCGAAGAAACGGTTTCTTCGCGATGACGAAGGGACGTAAATGTTCGTGGACCCGTGGTAATTGACTCGTCGTGGCGTATGTATCCCTACGAAAACGGCGAACGGTCCCTCTATGATCGTTTATTATATTTTATGAGTCCGAAGTGTCTGTCGAGGGCGTGCGAGAAAATCCCGTGTGGCGCACGGGGCGGTGCAGAGAGAGTGCCGCAGTAGTGGTGTGTTTAGGCTGGCGGCGTGGTCCTGACAGTGGTGACGGTTGGCGTGCGTATGCGCGGCTCGAAGAGTGGTGCAAGCGCCGCGCCAACTGGTTTTCTCGCTTAACCTAACCCAACTGACCGGGACACCGTGTTCGCGCGCCCGGCATCCACGGCCGGCGAAACGTCTGCCCCGTCGTCGTTCTCGCTCACTATCGACAGCGCTCGCATACGCTACCGCCGTCACGACCGGCTGGACCAGTTCGTACAGTGCGGCCGCCGCCTCGGCCCTACTCTTTTTTACACACACACACACACACACACACACACACACACACACACGCTGCCTCCGCCACTGCGTACACTTTTTTGTGCGTAGGTACACCCACGACCGTCTTACACGATGTTTATATACGATGCGCTATTATTATACTATAATTACTATTGCAGTTGTCCGATTATTGCTTATACAGGGCGTTGATATGAAAGTGAACGTACGCCATTACTTATTCAATGCAATTATATATTATGTATTTCGTCCCCATTCCACAAATCTAGAGAATACATAGATTATTTTTTAAATACTACTTACATTTAGGAAAATTACACTTAATGCTTAAGATATATTTACACCATACATCCATAATATACTTACAAAATTATTGGCTGTTATTTTTTCACTTCATCACACAAATACGGTTACATTATTCTGAATCTCAATAATACACTGCAATATTATCACATAATTGCTAAAAATAATGATAAATTGTTCAATAATATAATAACATAGGTAAATAACCAACTATAAATTAACAATACTTAAACGCGTTATTAAAAGCAGTATAAACTATATAAACATAATTTAACTATTTTTATTTGACTTCATAACATTAAAAATTCTTTGTCTTATTTGTAAATAGTATATTGTAACATTTTTCTTGTATATAAAATTTATTTAGGCATAATCATTAAAAAAATTTTATTAGTACAAATTATATTATCTTGTATACAAGAACGATTGAAAATGTTTTTGATTCACTCTGTATTTGCTTAAATTATTACTTTTCATTGTCTTTAGATGGAGTAGTGATGATCACGAAACTAGAATAATTAAAAATAACGAAAATAAAATTAATGATCCCCGACCATATGTTAAAAAAATAGAGAGGAATGTACCTTAAACGGAAAAATAATAGATATTGAAAGAAAGAGTGCATTTTTCACTATGCCATAATTAATAATTACTACAGGTATTGTTGATACAATGTTATTATGCACCTATCTCTATAAATAATTAATGAACAAAAATAATTTAGTCTCTAATAGAAAATGATTCCAATTAAGGTTTCATATTATTTTACTAATAATTTAATACTACGATGATGAAGTTATTAATAATGGTTAATAGATAGTATGTTGAAATGTAGATTTATTTGTTTTAGTAAGTTTATAATTATAATAATTTTGAATGTAAATTAAAATTAGTTTAAAAATGTTATAATTACAAATTAATCAACATATCATCTTTTTATAATAATTTTCATAGGTTTTTTTATAGGTTGATAAATTTTTCTAAAAAAATATGGGAAGCACCTTTTTAATTTATTTTTAATAATACAATAGATTTACTTGCTAAATTAGTCAAAATAATAACCAAAAAATGCAATTATTTACTATAGATATGAATGAAAAATAAGTTATATTATAACAAAAAGAAAAACAGGATCAATACAGGGCAATATGCATCCCGTATTACTTGATCGGGTTAGTTGAAAAACGGTATAATATATAACATATTTATAACCAAGTTGAATTAATTAATAATATTGCTATAATATACATACTATACTTTCATAGATTATGGTCGAATAATAATTGTTCTAGTATAATATATTTTTCATATCCAGGTGCTCAAAAATCTGAATTCTTCAATACAATAGTTCAAGTAGAAATCAAGATTTTACTTTAAAAAAAAAAAAACAACAAAATATATATATATTATATCTATTACCTACTTAATAAAATTAATTAATATTTTATGATGAAACACTTGCTTCGAATTCCAGTAAACATAATAATAACACAAAATTGGTCAATAAAATATAACCAATATTTAATAAGTAAAATAACCATAATATATAATTTTTAATAATAAATCAAAATTATAAAAAACCTATTATCGATGACTGTTAAATTTAATCTAGTTAATGAACGAAGTAATAGTAAGTTTTTTCTCGGGAATGCAGTTTTTCTAAAACATTTAATAAAATATTTTTTTTTCTAAAATATTTTAATATTATTTATATTCTGGAAAAGGGATATAATTATTAGTTGGTAAATAATAAATGATTCAATCATTTATTGAGTGTAGCTTATGGATAAATTACGGACAATAATTGGTGTTAAGACCAATGACGACACCAAGACGATGTACTCAGTGGCGCATTTAAGGAGGGGGGCGAAAGGGGCAAATGCCCCGGGTGGCAAAATTTTGGGAGCGGCAAAATATTCTAACTTTTATTATTGTTGTATTCATGATTTTTTTAATTTTTACACCTTTTTCGGTATTGTTTAGTATTTTAAAAAATATTGTTGAGCATCTAATAAGAAATTAAAAAAATTATACTGTACCTAGTCACCTAGGTAATAGTAAAATAGCAAAATAGGTATATTACATTTATTATTCGATAAGATATTATATTTTCGTTCAATGTTTATAATAAAGACTCGGGTACACAGAACGCAGTATTCACTTTAGGGCACATTTAAAAAGTTTACAAACGGAGTAAAATTGTACCTAAAAGTGTTCAATGTATGTTAGCATTTATAAAAGATAATAGTTTAGTTGAAGTATATCCTTATATTGATATTACTCTAAGGATGCTACTATATATGTACACCTTCAAGTAATTGTTCAACGGAAAAATCATTTTCTACATTAAAAAGGGTCAAAACTTATTTAAGATCAACAACGGGAGAAAATCGTCTTAATTAATTAATAACCCTCAACATTTAAGCTGATTTAACGAAAACTATTAATGATATTATTGAACATTTTTCTTCTCAAAAGTCAAGAAAAAAATTGTAAGCTATTGATTATTTTATTATATATAATTAATAATAAATATAATATATATAATCTAATAAAAAACCATGTATTGTTAATCATTGTGCATATAATAAGTGTTAATTCCGTTTTCTATATTAAATATATGTATATATATATTTTTTAAGAAAGAAATATTCACTTTGAAAAAAAAAATTAGGTTAACTTTAGGATATTTACTACTATCAAATTATCTAATACAATATCGTAAAACAACTGATTAATTATATAATTGATTTATATTATATATTAATTATATAATTAATTTTTTTATTTCTTAGCTTTGAATTCATTTATATATATATATATATATGTTTTTTTTTTTTTGATAAAGGGGAAGGACCGAAAAATTATTTTGCCCCGGAGCACGTATATATTAAATGCGCCACTGTATGTACTTATAAATATATATTCTCTTTTTATATATATATTCCTTTAATCCAAAAGATATATCTTAAATATATATTCTTCGACAGCAATATTATATTAGTATTAAGGTTAAAGGAATTAGAAACCATTATTTGTAATTTCTGTCTATCAATCACATAAAGTAGTCCACAATTTACACTATAAATTATATAATAATACATATTATAAAATCAACGGTACCTACTAGCTATTAATGCTTAATAATAGGTTATTTATATTTGTATATTTTTCACTTAACATGCTGGTCGAACAAAAAAGTAACTGTGAAATCCATATAATTGAAATTTAATTTGTTGAATATTCAACTTTATTATACTAAATTCTAAAAAATATAATTAAAAACTGTTTATAATCATTTTTTACAAAAAATTAAGTAACATACATAAATATGAGAAAGCTGAAGCTCAAATTATACTTTAGTAAACTTCAAGGCAAATTCAAATCAAATTTTAAAATCATTAAAGATTTAGATAATTAAACAGATTGGAAATACATTTTACGTAAATTACCAAGTTAGACAGAAATAGCAAATTGGCATTTCCAACCCCAAAGTAAATATGTAAACCATAAAGAAGTGTAATGAATAATTATGTATAACTATGAAAGTAATGTTCTATCGTCAAAATTATAATAATTACCTTAACACCTTAAATTAAAACCTATAACACAATACCAACACTACGGAATTCAATAATATATTGAATATCCATCTGGATTAGTTAAAAAAAAAAAATAATATTCACCCAGTAAATATCGGGGGTACAATAAGTTAAGAGGTCAAAACTTTTTTTATTACAATGAATTGGCGTTTTGACGAAAAGATTTCTAGAATTTTGTTAAATTATTGCGTAAAAAAAGTATCATAAATTAAAATATTAAATTACATTGTTCAAAATAGTAGTTTCTACACAAATAAATATTTTATACAATCAAACAATCATATAAAACACATTCTTTGTTTCACAAATCTATCTGATCGATATATCAAAATGACTAAAAAAACAATATTTTTGATTAATAGAATTGAATAAGAAAAATTCTTGTTTTATAGTATTGCATGCGTTATTTTTGCTCTTTGTTGAGCTAATATGTAAATAACATAGAACATATTTTCAAAAGAATAATCTATTGCTGACATTAAAATTTTTAAGATTTACAAATTGATGCTGATCATTATAATGAGCTTGTGCGTAAATTAAATTACACTGCTATACCGTTTTACAGCAAGGAATGTAAAAGTGAAAAAAAAAAATAGATATCATGTTCAAAGCGTCACAATAGGCTGGGAGAGATAAGACTTCTAAAAAAAAAAAAAAAACGCTGAATACTTTTATTATTTCTGTCCATACAAAATATATATATATAATATGTATTATACATATAATATGTATAATACATAATGTAAAAAAACATGTTTAACAAGACGGCTCCATATTTGGCTCATCGAAACAGGTTTGTAGGAGTTTTTACCCCGACATAAAATACGTTTCATGCTATACGAGCTTATAAAATAAATATTAACACTCCAAGTCTAGAAATATTACTAAAATAGCATAAAATTATACAATATCTAGAATTTAGAATTTTGTATGATAGATCTAAACTGTAACTTATAAGATACATATTTTATGGGCTATTAGGTATAATTATATACATCAAATTATAATTTGCTTGAAATAAATATCTACAATATACATTGCATTTTATTAAGAATTAATAAAGATACCACGAATAAAAAGCAATACGTTTTAAACATAAAAATATAATATTTTATATAAATTATTGTTAAAAAAGTTCCAAATTATTTGAAACAAATACACATTTTTATAGCGTATATTATTGATCCATAATTACTTCACAGTGTATTATACAGAAAAAACAAAATTGTACACCAGTTGCAATAATCTACCAATATTAGTGCCAATATATCGACTGGTAAAAGAAAAAAGGGGTTAAGCGACAATTTTATTACTTTTCAGGAGAGCAAAAATATATTTATTTTCATATTTTCTTAACTTTGGCGTTGGTGCTTCAGTATTTATTTAAGCATTAGGAATAAGGTTATTATTATTATGTATAAAGGTATAATATATTTCAATTTTATTACACGTTATCTTGCTGGTTTGACACTAATTACATTGAAATATTAAGTACATTTTTTATCATAACGAATTTAACTAAGCTTACCTGATTTTGGCGCTTAACTTTGTTTATTTTTATTTTTTTTTTGTGATAAATAGCGCTTGTAAATTTTTCAGTAGACTTGTAATAATTGTGTAACGTAAGTATGCATACCTAGGACGTACAAAGAACTCTACTTATATAAACACTTATATCAATATAAAAAAACCCCCTGTGCAATAATGTGTACTATAAGCATACAAGGTATGTTTCCATATAATATGCAACATTAATTTGAATGTTGAATTTGCGTTAATGTGATGTCCCTGATACTGCTAATGTCCGGTGTTTGCAACCTAATCATCAACGTTTTAAATCTGTTAATTTCTAACATACCTGCAACTGCAATATAATGTTTATAACAAAAAGTTATATTTGGGTTACATTGTAAACATAGTTAGAACGTCATATTCAAACAATGAAACATACTAATAATTGGAAAACAATTATAATAAAATACCACAACCCGTATGCGGGTATCGAACTCCGTACACCGACATATCTACCTAGACGGGGGTCTCTAAATCCTACGCGTTACTACCTATCGGCTATCCTAATCATATTGACATTAGGTCTATAATAGACGATATTTAAAGTGAATGGAAATCGATGGTTTTCTGTCTTTACTACCATACGAGCACATTATGTATGAAAAAATAAGTAACTGATTTTTAACTAAGTTTAGTTACTTTTATTTTTTAATTAACATAAGACATGTAGTCTAAAACTGTCTTATGACGTGACACATCAAATAGTATGCATACGGACATTACTCTTATAAATAATTGATTTGATACCCCTTGTATATTTAAATATATAGGTAAGTAGATGGGTGAGCATATAAAAATGTAAATATTTTAAATAATAAAGTTTGTTTTTTATTTGATTAATTTACAATACAATAATTAATAATTTTACAACTAAACTGATAAAATATAACAAGTATATTACATATTTTTATTAAAGTAATGAAACAAATACAAATGCATGCTTTAAAATTAGTTATGTATCACATATTATATATTTGCTTAGTTATTATGCCTAATTTAACCTGCGGTACATTAATCAAATTGCAGGAAAAATTTACAATGTTATATACCTACTCACATTGTTAAAGCCTGATGATTTAACTATTTATTTAAACCTAATCTAACTATAGAATCTACATGGTCATGAACAAAATTACCTAATGTAAACAAGAGTTGATTAGATTACTGTGAAATGGATCAAATAATTTAGCACCAACATTTAAGAATAAGTAAAGGCACTTACCATAAGTTTTATTGACACCAACAAATTTCACCCTATAAGTTTCCCATGACTGGGATGGACTTATTGCTTTTTTTAAATGGTCACTGGTAACCTTATAAGGAGGCCATTTGCAAAATAATGAATCACTTTGAGAGTCTTTATTTTCTACAAGCCAATTGGTAGGAATTACACTGTATTCTTTTGACTCTGTGAACCATACCACACACCATAACTGAACCAAAATAAATTATTAAAATTATTAAATATGTACATATTAAGTTCAATTGGTTGCAGAAAAATACAGTCGTAATAAGAAGTAAATATTTAGTACTCACCTTAGTCTCATTTTCACGTTGTTCTCCAGACTTTGTTGATGACATCATGAATAAGTTCTATAGTATTATACTATTCAAAAGTTCAAAATTAATAAAATGTTTAATTGAAAACCGTTAGTTCACACTGAATAGTCGGTACTGCAGTAATCACTATACACTAATCGCCAGTTTACCACGGTCAGTTGGCGAGTGGGGACAAGAGTAGGGGCTAGACTATAGCCGCTAGAGAGTTAAAAATAATAACTTATGGGTAAAACCAATAGAGTATATTTTTATAGAGTGCAAAACTATTTATTTTAAAATAGTATATTTTTTTTTTTTGTGAAAAACTGAAACATCGATATTATTTTGCTGGTACGTATTACAAATCACAATAATGTAACAACCCTGTGATATATAATTTATAACATTGTAGGTCTGTACTATCATATAATGCCTAGTTATATCGCCGGGATGAGTGTTAAATGTTTGTTTTATTTAGACAGAATAGATACATTGTATACATATTAAAAAGTTACGTTGATTGTACTACGTAATATGTTTGTTTCTGGGATGTGTTGAAACATCCAGTGCACACTGGGAAGGTTTGATCTTATAAGTCATATTATTATTATTATTATGAAAGTTGATAAGCAACAATCGTAGGAGCTAGCGCCATGAATTTGTCGCTTGTCCTCTACTTTTATAACAGTTGTATCGCTTGTCACAAGAAATCAAAATTCTTGTATTTACTAAATGGTCAGAACAACACTAGCGTTAGTGCAATCGAAAGATCTAACTGTCGGTTATCCTGTAGTATACACCGTGTGTCGCTTAGTCCCTTTTGCCTTTTACCAGCCAATATATTGACAAATCGTTTTTATTTTTAGTTATTAAATAATATGATAACTAGACACAATAAAAACATGCAGGTAATATATATCATAAAAATTATATTAAGTAAAAATCAAAAATTTACATCTACATTTATTTTGTATTTAATAAGAGAACATTAATTTCCTTCCTAGAACATCACATTCCATTTATGATAGGTACCACAAATATCAATGATAGATCAAACTGTTTGAATGTCGAACCGAACCGAACTCAAAATGAAAGAAAATCGAACCAAACTATTTACCATTTAGGATTGTTCGAAATTTGAACTTGAAAATATTCTTAATCAAACAATCTAAAATTAATATATTTAGTCATAATTAAATATATATGTAGGTAGAGTTCCAAAAAGAAGTTTTTCATGCCTTGTCATTTATAAAACATGAATTAAGACGTATTGTAAGTAATTAAAGGGATATAACTCTAAAACTTGATATAATGAAATGTAATTTAGAGAAAATGCCTTCATCAGACTTATCTGCCACTTTTAAACAAGATCTCAACATCAATAACAGACGTGATGAGTTGTTCATTACCGTTAAATAACATTAAAGACCTTGAAATACTGGAAGAATGAATTTCTGAAGATAGCTCATTCGGCTCAAGTTTAGTATGAAATTATAAAATTCAATATTAGTCTTAAATTTTAAAATTTAAAAAAAAGAAAATTATAAATTAATCAATTTTTTTCATAACTATCAGATAAATCAACTATCTTACATTGGTGGTAAACATTTGAAGGTTATGGTTAAGAGGCTTTTGGGAAAATTATTTAATGATGAATTGCTTAAAGACTTTTCGTACACTGGTAAAAAAGGAAAAAAGGAGTTTTCAACCTTGGCAATTCGTTCCGTTGGTAAATTATATTAAATTATTTTATTACATTATGTTGCATCTTATATAGCAGGGGATACAAATTTATTATATCAGGTTATCTCATTTTTTAATTTGATTAAAGTTATAATTGCCAAAAAAGGTCTGACCACATCGCTGAGTTGAGGTCCACATCTTTCCACCTACGAAGAGCTTATCAGACAAGCGCCAGGAAGGTAGATCCGGACGGCTTGCATGCCGAAAGTTGCGCTTACTCCAGCGCGAGAAGACATCTCCATCGTGAGACAAAGAAGCCTATGGAGAAAGGGTGGAGTGACCTCTGCTCACATTCGATAGGGATCCTTGGGGTAAACCATATAAGATCATTATGAAGAAGTTCAGAGACGGCATGTTTGCATTCGTGTTCGAACACATGATCACCGACCACCTGTTTCCACCTGCTTCTGTCACCGACAGGAGCCTAATCCCCTTTCTTGAGGTAAGAAACATCTTTGATGCTTTCAACCCGGACACGGAAAAACAAGAATTCACCAGGCCCGTTCTCGAGTTAGATGTGTCGGAGTTACTCATTGCTGCCAAAAAGATGTCGTCGGAGAAGGCCTGCGGTCCTTCCAGTATACCTAATGAGATACTGAAGAGAATCGTCATCATCGCGTTACCTCGGGACATGCATAAGATCTACGAGTGCTTAAAATCATTGTCATTCCCAGCGATCTGGGAAAAAGCCAAGCTGGTTTTTCTCCACAAGGGTGTGGGAAATCCGGTCGACTCCCCGTCCAGCTTCCACCCGATTTGCCTTGTGGACACCCCGGGTAAGCTCCTGGAAAGGTTTATTCTGCAAATACTGGAGTTCCACCTGGACGCGAACAACTCGGCCAGTCGCGTCCCCGATCAGTTCGGCTTTTGAAGAGGATTCTCGACGGAGTCGGCGGTGGACGTGGTCACCAAACTAGCGACGCAAGCGAGCGCGGGAAACTGGAGACAGAAGCAGTTTTGCGTCTTAGACACCTTTGAGGTAAAAACGCCTTCAACTCCCTTTAGTAAAGATTAATTGATGAGAAGCTAAGGAATAAGGGAACCTTCGAATACTTAGTTTTGATGATTCGTTTTTAGCTTTCTTATTGGGAGCTGCTAATCGGCGAACGGAGGGGTCCCAAATCGGTCACTTATGGAGTCCCCCAGTGCTCGGTTCTAGAACTGACCCTGTAGAACGTGGCATACGACGACTTGCTAAAGATGAAAGTGCCACCCGGAGCTCACCTCATCAGATTTGCGGACGACTTAGCGGTCGTTGGGCGAGCTACTCGAATTGTTGAACCCCGTCCTGGAGAACATCGACAGGTGGACAACCAACCGTTGACTCCAGCTAGTTCACCAGAAGACCGAGGCCGTGATGCTCACCAAGAGGTGGGCTTACAACTTGCCTCGGCTACGCATCGGGGTGGTAGAGAATCAACTCCTCTTCACCGCTCCCATTTGGTTACCCACAGTAGACGCCATAGCCAGGGCGAACCTCAGGAGGCCGCAGAAAGTCGCCGTCCTGAGGACGATCAAGGCATATAAGACTGTTTCAGAAGAAGCCACCTTCTTCCTGGCTGGAATGCCAAGTGGGGTGGACTTAATTGTGGCAGAGGGTCAGGGTGAAGGCCAGAGCCGAGCTGCCAACCCGTCCGAATGAACATTCCCCCATGAAGAGCTCCATCAAGATCGAGAGGAAAGTCACCATCAGGGAATAGAATAGCAGGTGGCTACGCTCCAGGAAAGCTTCGTGAACCCACCGGCTCATTCTGGACCTTGCCAGGTGGATCAACCGTAGGGTCCTCAAAGTTCCCTGGACATACCAGATGATGTGTCATATTTCCGGCCACGGTTGCTTCCAGCACTACCTCCACCGCAAAGGTTAAGCTGCAAGCCTAAGTTGTATGCACTGCCCGTGCAGGTTAATTTCTGTATGGGTGTCGAGGGGTGGAGAGCTGAGGCTGGCCCGCAATGTCTAGGATGGCCGGCTTAGGTCGGTACGCGAAGAGTCTCTCCGAACAAGACGTCTAGTCTAAGGCGATGGATCTAAGTCAGCCCGAAAAAACATTACCACGTCGTTGTACATATATAATTGAATATAAATTCTATGTTTGTAAAAGGGATAATGCAGGGTATATGTTTCGTATATCCTCATGCAAGTTTCATTTACTTGTTCGCTCTCTTAGGCCCGTGTTCTACACATACACACCAGCATTCGCTGAGGAAGGTAATTCCCAGATCCTCGAGGTTTTACCCTTCGATTAGACCCTTGAAATTATTAAATTTGTATGTACTGTATATGATTTTAATTTTACTCAATAGACGATGCTGCATGGGGGTCAAACAATGTGAAAACAGTTCAGTCCCCATGTAGTGATTACTAAAAAAAAAAAGTAGGTATCGTGATCATTCACACGTTAGATTATTACTAACAATTTGCTATCCATCAATAATTAATTGAAAATAATTGTCAAATAATTCAAATAATGTTATATTATCTTACATTATGATGTTATTAGTTCTATAATTCTATAAATAAAGCATTGATGAAGGACAACTTTTTATAATTTAATCAATTATTATTATTCTAAAAATAGGTTTATTTTTTTAATTAATTTATTTTATTTTTATTTACATTACGGGACGAAACTTTTAATACATGAAAATACACAATAAATATTAATTTGCATTAAGGAAACGAGGCTCGATTTTAGAGAGAAAATGAGGGGCAGTATTGGCGATACGCATAAGACGGATGATCGGGGAATTAAGGTAGTAGTTTGAGAAAGAGAATGGTATATAGAATGGAGCAGATGAACGTGTACGGAGGGAGGGGACATTAAATGAAATGCGAGATAGTGCTTCTGGACAGTCAATTTTAGAGGAAAGTATATTAGATAGGAATGATATGTTAGCTGATCGACGGCGACCAGCGAGACTTTCTAAGGCAAAAAGGTGTTGGATTTGTGTGTAATCGTGAGTTGGGCAGGATACGTTTAATTTATAAGCAGCGTAACGGAGGAATTTTCTTTGTACCCTTTCAATCATGCAACATGCAGAAGTGGTGGAAGGGTCCCAGAGAATGATTCCATATTCAAGGATGGTATGGATTAATGAACAGAATAGTTTTTAGTGGAGTGAGCAAGTGGAAATCTGTAGATATACGGTTTATGAAACCTAGCAGTTTTAGAGCCTTACAACAGATTATCTGGATATGCATATTAGGGCAAAGGTTACGTGTAAGAGTGAATCCTAAATATTTTACAGAATTATCGCAAATTATCAAGGGGATATTATTAACCGAGTAAGTATAATTGACTGCATTATTGATACGACAAAAAGTCATTACTGAGCATCAAGGAATATTCAGAGTTAGTCCCAAAGAATCACCCCAGGTCACTAGACGCTATAGGTCATTTTGGAGAAGATGACAGTCAAAGATGGATTTGATAATCAGGAAGATTTTCATATTATCAGTGAAGATAAGAAGTTTGGCATGTTGGAGAATAGAAGTGGTAGAATTTACGAATATAGCAAACAAAAGAGGAGAAAGTTACAGGTACTGTTACAGGTAACAGTAGATCTACCAGGACGGAAGTCATGCTGCTCATCAACTAGAATATGATTCAAGGAAGGACGAATCGAGTTAAGGACAAGTGTTTCAAATAATTTGGATAAATGAGGTAGGATAGTTATTGGACGATAATTTGTAACATCAGTACAATCACCGAACTTAATATTGGTCTAATTGAGCCAATTTTAAGAACAGAGGGAAAGATACCTGAGTCAATAGAACGCATAAACAATAACCATAAAGGTTCGGCTAGAACAGATCGAAGTCGCCCTGGATACCGTCTGGACCAACAGACTTTATATTGTGAAAGGAACATAAGCATTTGTATACGTCACTAATCAAAAAATGGGCATTAGACGGAAGCGGAGAGGCTGGTAGGATGTGATGTCTGTGATGGAGATGATGACGGCTGGGCGAAAATAGAAGAAAAATACTTAGCAAACATGTTAATTGTATCGGAATGATATGTGCTCTGTATACCATGGAGTTTAACACTTGAAGGTATAGATGAAGTAGAACGATTTTTTCTAATGAAACTCCAAAAATATCGTGGGTTGCGTAATAGGGAGGACACTGTACGAGAGACAAAGCTACGGTAACATTGCTTGGAGATGTATTTAAATTTAGCGCAAAGAAATGAAAAGTGTTTGCGATCTGATAGTAGCTGGGATGCCTTAAATTTAGCATGAGCGCGAGACTTAGCAAAAACTAATTCTTTGAGTTCATTATATACTATGACGATTTTCAGGAACAAAGGATAAGATTGAATAGTGGAGAGCATCAAGAAAGACAGACATGGAATCATCAAGAGAGTATGACAGAAAGGTACGTTTCCAATAATTGAAAACGTACCTTTAATTATAAAGTATATATATATTATATATTATACTTTTTCAATTATTGAAAAAGTTGAAGAAATTAATGATCTGTATGTAATCTGCCTTGTTAAAGTTAAAAAATGATTTAAGGGAAGCAGATTGAGAATGAATGGGGAGATTTATAGAAAGAGAAAGAGGGAATGGTAAGTGTCGGCAGGCACGGCTGCGTCAAGAGCTTGGTTAACAGTTAAGAAGCTAAGATTAGAGAATATGAGTTCGAGAAGAGAGTGGTGAGAGTTTAATATGTAGTTATGTTGGTAAATCCATAGATGGCAAGTCTTTCAGGAAAGGAATTATATTCAGAGATTGATTGAGTTAGGAAACACAGGCCATGTGTATCATTCGACAATGAAATAAAAGGTAGATTATAATCACCAGTGAAAATACGTCTATGGTTTGGGTATTTTTGAACAATAAAGTCAATAGTATTTAGATGGGTAATATAAAGCTCAATGGGTGATGAAGATGGTATGTAAACGCTGCAAATAATAATATTTAAGGAGTTGAGAGAAGCGAACAAATAGTTGCTCAACACTATTATTAGGGGTAATAAGGGGGTAAGAAGCTATGTTTTTACGCACTGCCACTAACACACCACCACCTCGCGGTGGTGGTATGTTAGTTACGTTAGTTAGTTAGTGTGTGTGTTACGGGAGCTGGTTTGTGGAGATCTGTCGCATCTAAATATATTGTAATTAATGAGACTAAGCACGGAAGAGTGAAAACTAATAGTGAGCCAAGTTTCCCTTAGAGCAATAAACACAATATTAAAACACAAGGTATTACAATTGAAATTAATAAGTTTAGTACGAAGGCCGCGACGATTCTGGTAGTATCCATTGATGAGTATAGTGATAGGGGTGTTGGTATTCCTTATACTTGAGGGCGATGATGGACTCGGGCGTCGTTTTTTGAACGAGAAATTACACACGGAGAACCGTTAATGAAAGTAATAGTTAGGTTATGTTCTCCTGCTGCTACACGGCGATCTAACTCAACGTGACAGGTGCGAAGTTATTGGCGTTCAAGCAAAGTTTTGTCACGTACAATGCTGGTGAGTGGTAGAAGGGGCAATTGTTGTGATCTAACTAGACGATAGGACGAAAGAACAGCAAAAGCAGCTTCACAAGAGCCAAAGATAACTTTGACGGGTCGAGGTGAGGTGGAGGTGGTTTTACCAAGACGAAACGGTTTGAAATCAGTGTGAACATCAGCAGAAAGTTTAGAAAATATGTCACGTATGATTTTATCGTCGTTTATTTTCGTAGGGAGATCACTAGACGTAGATTCAGGTAGACCCTACGTAATAACAATGAGTTTACATTGATCACGTTCGGTAAATTCTTTTAAGACATCCGAGATCTGGGTGGAGGGGACAGTTGATGGGTTTGATGTGTTTGACTCCAAAGTGAGGACCTTAGATTCAAGCAGGTCGACTTTAGTACGGAGCTTAGTAATTTCAAGTGAGAGAGAATCAAAACGTGAAGTAAGGGCATTGATATTCGTTTTGAGTTCAGTATCTAAGGATTTGTCGTCGGCAAATAGTTTATCTTGAGATAATTGGATACGCTCAATAGCTTTTAAGATTTCATCGTTCAAAGTGCATTTCTTATAATTCTTATATTGTAATATTAGATTTTTTTTTTTTTTCAAAAAGAGTTATCGCGGGTCAATGAGAGATGTTATAACCCTAAAACCTCTATGCGCATGGACTTGATTAACATTCTGATTAAAAGTAATAAATTTAGGAAAACCAATTAAATTATCATCATGAAAATACATAGATTTAATATTAGATTTTCAGATAAATTTTATAAAAAGCAACAGTTACCTTTGCTGTTAAATTAAATAATTCAGCATAAATTACTATTCTAATAAAAATACTGCATATTTATACTAATAATACTGCTAGGTAAAAAAAAAAAAAATATTAAAATTTAAAATATTAATTTTTAGCAATTAAAAATATCTTAAATATATCATTTATTTTAATAATACTAAATAAATATTTTACATTTAAATTAGCTTTAAGTAAACCGGTTCATTGGTTTACATGAAATATTGAGCATTAAAATATGACAATTAAGTTAATAACAAGTAAGAAGTAACAAGTCAACTGCATAATAAAAACATAAGGTCATTAAATAAAGATAAAATGGTTTAACATAGATATATATACAGCTCTATGAGAATAATTTAAAATATATTAATATTTATAGGAAGATATGTTTCAATAAATATTTACAATAAAAATGTGATTATTTAATACAAATTCAAAATGTCAAAATCAAAAATCAAGTCGAAATATATAAAGTTAAAGGTTTTTTTAGCTAATATTATTATTAACATGGTTATTTTGAAGTTTGGCTCTATCCTAATTATTATCATGAGGTAATTATAATAAAATAAGCTGTTGTTACTATTATTTAATAATACCGATTACAAATTAACAATGCAAATGAAACATTAAAGATTGTAAAAATCTAACTATAACAGAGAAATATTTAAATAAATTAAAGTGAAGCAAAGAATTCAGTGAATGTTTAAACAAATAACAAATGAATAGTATTAATTAAATAATAGTGCATCCAAAAGAAGAATGAATCAAAAAAAAAAAAAAAACCTTTGAAACTATTGTTATAAAAATAAGTAAATTAACTTTAAATATTTGTAGATACATATAATCAAATAATTGGCAGTAAAGAATAATCTATTGATGGCAATGGAAATTTTAATTGAAATTTATAATGATCTTTTTCAGGTATACTGTATTTATTATAGAACAATAAAATCCAGCCTTAAATAATTGAGTCATTTAATCAAAAAAATAACAAATATTTTTTTCAACTATTTATTTACTTTTGTGATTGTGTACTTACAAATTTAGATAAATGTTGCATATTCAGTAGAAGATATTTCACTTTGTTTATTTTTACCATAAAGACCAATGAAAGAACCGTCTTCATTCATTCCTTCTGCGTATAAAATGAAAAACAAAATAAAGCAATAATATATAGTAAAATGCATGCAATATAAAAATATATATCATAAAAATGTGTTTGATAAACAAAATATTATACTTTAGTTTGTAAAACGAATAAATTTATATTTAAATTTATGTATATAAAAACTAAAAATATATTCTTTTATTTTTGGAATGCAGGATAGAAAATATAAAAAACAAATTTCACATGACAAATTAAATTATTTATAATATACTAAAACATTGATAAATTGTCTATAACAGAACCAAGGGCGATGGATAACAGACGTAGACAGATGCAAGAAAGAATTAATTCTAATATTTATAATTATCATATATTAATTTTAATTTTATGTGTATTCGTATAACGTTGTACATGATAAAAATTATTTTAGATAATTTGTAAAAAGAAACATTATAAAATTTAAAGTACAGATAATAAACAAGTGTAGGTATATCCATAATATACAATATTATCAATATAATGGATGACCTATAACAAAAGTTAAACGATGAAAGATTGATAAAAATTTGAGATCTTCTATGTATACTATTTACATTAATGGAATGACCAGCTTTGATTTTATACGTAATAATATTATAAGCTAAATAAGGCAAAATATGTTATTTAATGTGCAAAAATTAATCAGTAAGACAGAAGTTAGGAAACAACACATTAACATGTGAATTATTAATTAATTAATTAGAAATATACCTGTGTCAACTTCGCCATACTCTGCCACAGAGTCTAAATCACTTTCTGGGCACTTTTTTTCAATGTCTAATATTTTTGAACCACTAACACTAAAAATATATATATATATATATTGATTGATGTAACAATTATTTTTAAATAAAATAAATATTTCAAATTAATGATATATTAAAGAATAGTAAACTTACTGTTGTGAGTACTCATAAAAATGAGGTCCTTCTGGATTATCATGTCTACCACGAGCAGCTTCTGATTCATGTACTACATATTTTCCTTCTCTACTATGTTTTACTACACAGACTACAATAACTGATACAATTATAAAAAATAATACAAGCAGCATTACAAAAAGCCATTCTAAAGTAGCCATCTTTTCAATTCTAATAAATCTATCTAAAAAAAACAAACAAAATATTAATTGAAGACTTAATACTTATAAAAATATAGCATATCATATATTTAGCATAAAAAAGAACAGTAAAAATTATAAGAATTTATATATCATGAATATGAAACTATATCGTTATAATAACATTGGACTTTGGTCGTGTTTTAGAGATAATTATAACTAGAGCTAAGATTTTAATGCTATAAAAAATAGCAAAAAATACACTAAAAATAAAAAAAGCTTCAAAAATCATAAAAAATACACAATAAAAATTCTTAATAAATTATATTATTTATAATTATATTATATTATACTATAGTTTAAAAACGATATCATAAAAATGAAATTAACAAAACTTATTTAATTATCATAATAACGAAATAAGTACTTATTTGTTTAAATATTTACATTTATTTAACTATATTAATATTGTTCTACTTTTGAAAAAACAGGTACATGGGTTAGATGATCATATTTATTAGATTATCAATTTAGTAAATTTCATACTAAATGTGCAAGTTTTGAGCGAAAAAATGCTGAAACGCATTATTAAATACAATAATACTTAAGAATTTAAAGATAAATTCTGAAAAATGCTCTAAAACTTGAAAAATGCTTTAAAAATAGTAAAATATACTCTAAAAATTCATATGAATTTAAATTTGTCATAAAATGCAAAAAAAAATGTATGTATTGGGACATTAGGAAAAAGATACATTTGCATCAAAATCTCACCCCTATTTAAAACCAATTGCATGAAATTTATCAATGTAAATATAGAACAATTTTTAAATAAATAAAATATGAAAAATCTAAAAACCATAATAAATTATAATAATACCAGTATTTGATAGTAGAATTTCAACTACGTCTGAATCTTTCATAATATCACCATCTACAGCAACCACAATAAATTCATATACTTCAACAGATTTCAAACCTTTTACATCAATGTAGTTTTTCTCAAATTCTGGATCAGTTTTCTCATATAAATGATCACCTTTAATCCTTTAAGTAAATATTCCAAAGGAAATTAAATATATAAATAGATATATTTATATAATTTTAATTATAAGCTAATAATTATTACTTGTATTTCACAAAGAAATGTGATCCTGGATTGCCATCAAGTTTAGGTATCCATAAAATCCGAACAGTATTTAAAGCATTACTATAAGGTTTAAGAATATAAGTAAATTTAGGCTTATCTAATTGAGTTACTTTTGGTAAATGAGGTTTGGTTTGCTGTTTAACGAAATAACTACAAAGAATAAAAAATATAAAAAATATTAAAAAGTACAAAAATTCCAACACAGAAATATGTTAAAAAATGTGTACATACGCTTCACCAACACCAGCTTTTGTAATTGCTTTAATATATATTCGATAATTAGTTGCTGGTATTAATGATGCCAATTTAGTATAAGTCTGTTGGGGATCTGTAATAACAGTACTTATAATCCTTCCACTAAATCCATGTTCAGTCATAGGTTCATAAGAAATTTCATAACCTGTTAATGCACCATTAGATTGAACTGGAGGCTGCCATGATAATAAAATTGCAGATGAACCCAATTGTTGAGCTTCAACTCCACTAACAATACCAGGGACTAAATAAAAAGAAAGAACAGTAATTAAAAATATTATGTTTTTTGATTAAAATGAAATTGGGCATTCCAAAATATATTTTTTATATAAGTATTATTTATTAAAATTATATAATTAATATATAATTATTATTTATAAGAAAAAAAAAACAATATATTTTCAGAAAGTTAAATTGAAAAAGGTTAACTATAAGGGCTATACTTTAAGAAATGTAAGGTAGATGACTAATTTTAGGGAAGCAAGAAGTCTAACAATTTTTTTTTGTTACAATATCATAATTTGAGTACCTAATCATTGATCACAATTATTCATTTATAATTTGATAAAGATATACTATAATACAATATTTTTATAACAGAAGAAGCAAAATTATATTATAAGTTAAAAAGCTTTAAAATACTCGCATAATTTTCACGTGGAAAAGACAAATTAATGTTAAAATCTTAATAAATTTAAATAAAAAGTTAATAAAGCAAGTAATTATTTTACAAATTTCAACCACATAAGTTTATTTTGTACTTATATATTTTCACCCAAGCCATACCAATATAAAGCAATATTTAATTACCTCCTTCAGGTGTAACAAAAGATACTATTTGACTATGCGGTCCATGGAAACGACTATTGTATGCAAGAATACGCACATAATGTTTAACATTAGGTAAAAATTTTGTTATTTCAACTG